GATTTCGAAAATCTCTAAAGAACTATGCCTTCAGGATTCATGTTTTTAAAAAAAGATAAAGCTGTCGTCACCCTAAATTTTAATATAATTTTGTCTATACTTTGACGTCACGTATAAATATGTTTTTTTGTTATAACTTAAAAGTCTTTAAACCTTCAAAGCTTCCAATCTTGCCAAACTATTTTATTAAGAGGCCACAATAAGATCAAATGTATTTTGTTAAAAATTCTCCAGAGATTTGAGAAAGACGCTTGCCTAAAAAAAACCCCAGAAAAAACACAGCAAGTTAGTAGTAGCTTTCAGTGAATAGCATCCCCCGAAATGCTCGTATTGTTAACACAATTTGTGGTTGCTTCTTGTGCCTGATATATCCGTTCATTAGTATTTATTCCAAGTTGGAGGAAAAGGGAAAGGGGAGATCCTGGGGGCGATCCTCCAGCTCCAAACTCATCATCTGAAACTGGTCCACGATCCTCAAACTACAAAGCAAAGGCATACGTTTGGGGACGACAGCTGCTCAATGTTTCACATTGTTTTCCCCCTTTTTTTTGGTAGAGAGGTGTGGGACTGGTCTTCATCAATCCGCACATTCGCTTTTCATTATTTAGTACGACGTTTTTTTTATGTTGTTTGTATTGTTAACCAAGCAAATGTGCTGCTGATCATGTGTGCAATATTTAGTCCGTAAATAAATGTGCTTTTTTACTTTACTTATACTTACATGTATTTTTCTACGATTAAACCGAAAAAAAACAAAAAAAAAACGAATTATAAAACAAACCCTAAAGTCTTCTCATTTCGAACGGGGAGTTAACCAATTCACGGAAGTCACGCATAAAACCCATAAAAATAGCATCAATTCCAGCATAATTTAAGTGTTAAGAGCCGAATGAGCGCGATACAAAATATTTTTTGGAAAAACAAAAGGCCTGAATTGATAACCGACATGCAACTTGCAGGGGCTTTAAGTGCCGATGGGAAATCCACGAGGAAATTTTCGGTGAATGGGAAGTTTTCTTTGAGAGGTCATTGCTTTAAAAAGATGTAATCCAACCAAAATTCTATGTAATTTAATTCACATCTGTGCATACTGATAGTACATTAAATGAGTTCAAGAGCGATGACACATTTTCTAAATTAGGAAAGCTTTAAAATTTACAATAAATCAGCCCATTAAAATGTATAAAGAAAATAAAATCTTGAGCTTTAAAATGTTCAATAAATCCTGTAATTAAAATTTTAAAATATAATGAAGATTTTTCAAGCTAAAAATATAATTGATAATTAATAATACTTAAAATAATAACAATTATTTAACGCTTCTTTCGCTTTGATTGTACTAGACAAATTCAATTTGTAAAATTTTTAAATTGAGATCTTTAAAATGTTCAATAAATTTAGTTAAAAAGAGAATGGCAAATAAAAAATAATAACAATTTTTAAGCTGCATTAAGAAGTAGACAAAAGCGAAATCAACCTTTTTTTATAGTTTAAATTCTCGTAATAGAGATACATTTTTAAACTACATAAATTATTAACAAAAAAAAATGACAAATAAATTATAAAAATTTTTAAACTAAATTTAGTAGAAGATAAGTAAATTGCAAAAAAAATATAATCACAATTTTTAAGTTACTTTTACGAGAAACCAACCTTATTTGCTATTCAGCTCTCTTTTTATCTATCTGTAATTTTGTAAAAAATTGAAATGGAGATCTTAAAAATGTACAATAAATCCACTGACTAAAATTAAAAAAAAAAAATTGTGCCGATATATTTAGTTATAAAGAGAATTGCAATAGCAATTTTAAAAATACATTTAGTAGCAGGCAAACGAGAAACCAAACTTAGTTGCTTTTATGCTCCCATCTGTCTATATGTAATTTAAATTCGTGTCAAAGAGATACATAAATTCAATTTGTAAATAACTTTTAATGGAGCTCCATGCTGATTCACTATTAATTTGAATAACTGAGTTTACCGAGTGGGCTTGAGCTCACCCCCTGTTGCGTCCAGTGGTCTAGTGATCTAATGCGATTCGCTGCAATTTGCCGCCCCACCGAGCGATGGCCAGCACTTTCACATGGCAGTCTCTTCCTTTTTGCCACATCGCTCTCTTGCCACATGGATGTGCCTTACGTAAGCAGATTCGTCGAGATACTGCCGCCGAACAGGCCAAACAATTAGCATAATCAGCTGCCGCAATGGCTGGTAAATTGTGCCAATTTCTATAATTTTGAAATGCGGCAGCGCCGCCTTTCCGTCGACTTTCCACTCGAATTAAAAAAGTGCTCTTCTGCGATGACTTCCGCACTCTTTGGGAGATTCGCAATTCGCGACTCGCATTCCCATTTGCAATTTGCATTGCCATATGATCCTCCAGTTTCGGGATCGTTATCTCAAAACTGTCCACTTTTTTATGAAAATCGAAAGTGCGCCATCGCTTGCCATTGTTGTCACGGTCTGGACTCTGAAGTCTCTGGGAAGTCTGCCAAGTTTCTTTCCGATTCGATCCAAGTACACGCCCAAGTACACGCCCAAGTACACAGCACGTGTATACATCGGATCGGACTCTTCCCCGTCCGGAATCCTATCAATCAACAGCATTACTTCCCCTTCAGAAGGTAGAAAAAAAAGAGTTGGCAAAAACTGTTTGCTTTATGATCTAAACGATGATCTCTCTCGCCCCAACAATGGACCCATAAAACACTGGCTGTAACTGAAACAACGACGGCAACAAATTAATAACTAAAGCGATGCAGTCTGATCCACAAGCATTACATTTTCAGACATTGTTGAAGCGTTGCAGCTGCCACAGTGGAGCAAACACAAATTTTAAATCATAAGGAAAATTAAAATTAAACCATATTCTACATCTATATCTTATTATACACTGGTAAAAAAACAAAGTAGTGAATCCAAATATTTTGTTCTCATTTTTAATATTTTTCGCTTCGAGTTAATGAATAATTGAAAATTTAGTTTAAACAAAAATTATATTAAACTAAAATAAAGTGCATTTAAAGCTTTTAAATTTTCCACATTACTTAAAATATTTTAATATTAAATTATGCAATTTAATATGCATTGTATTTAATACTTTGAGTTAATATTATATGCAAATATTTAATAATAATTATTATAATTAAGTATTAAGTGTAATATTATGATTTAGTATTAAATGAAAATACTAAACACAATTGCATATTAAATTGCATAATCGGATATTTTTTTATCGTTTCATTTCTTTATCAGTGTACCTTTTTATATCCACTTCTGGTGTGAAGAGAGAACAAAAAAAAAACTTTTTTAAAATGCACCCAAATTTTAAGAATAAGATATTAGATCAGGGTTGCTCAAAACTGTCTCATAAATAAAATATTGTTTGGTTTGGTTTTGGTTTGGTTCGATAAATAAACAATTTATGGCCTCTAGAAGTGCAGATTTGACATTTCTCCAATAAAACGGAGTTGAAATATTCCGTTTTTAAATCAGTTATCAATGATTTCGACCACTGTTCATCTTTGGTGGCAGCCAATGGATTTGGTAGTGTTTCTGCAGTCTTTTTTTGGCCACATAACGGGGTACGGAGCACTAAAGCTATATAGCTATATGGCAATCGCATTCGACTGCTGGCAAGGTTGTTGATCTTCACACATGTGGAGGGGCTTTGCCAGCATTTGCTTTTGTTTTGCCGCTGCAAAACTGTTTCGCTTTTATTATTACGGCTATTATCGTTAGCGTTAAGTGTGGCAAGTGTTGCTGTTTCAGTTTCATTTTGTTGCTTCTCTTGCAGAATATTAAAATATAAATCACACGCCCTGTGGGCCAAGCCAAAAGCTCAATAGAAATCCCCCGGCCAGCACGTAAGGGAAATTAATCAGATGGCCAAAATTCGATTTCAATAGCAAGTTTTTCGACTCGACATAATCGAAATTAAAATCAGCTTTGTTTGCTTTTTTTTTTTGGTAATGAGAAACTCTGCAGAGCTCCGTAAATCAGCAAATGCTTGGCTCCTTGTTAATTATTATGCACTGAGCCATTGACCATGAAGGTAACCACAGACTAGAGAGCTGCTGCACCGACCGCCAAAACCACAAGTCTTATCTTTATGCTATGGCATCCTCTTTTTTTTCCCATGTGTCTTTTGATGAAATTAACTGGACGTAACATTTCTCAAAAGATTTAAATTATTTTTTTTTTTATATATTATTTATTATATTTATTATTTTTTGCAACTGTTGGAATTCAATTCATAAAAGTCACATTATTGCAACAAAAGAATAGTAGATAGCTTGAGATAGAATAGAATAGGCTAGTAAATCCACTTGTACTTCCATGGCTATTACCATGTATTTTCCTGCTATCCGTATGCCAAGTGGATGGGTTAGTCACACCCCGGGGTACATTACTTGTCGTTTAGCCCAATAAATGCCTTTGGTGGCAAGGATTTTACAAGACAATTACGGGTATTACCCCTCGGTGTTTATCCGGCAAACATTTCATTGAACTGTTTTGTGGTATGGGGTTTGTTTGGCTTAGCTTATGGCTTAATTGGCCATCAAAGTGGCAGCTTAAACCGAGACCGAGGAGACCGAAACTGATGCCAAGAAACTGAAAACTGTAAGCTGAAAACTAAAAACTAAAAACCAGTTGTCCTCTCTTTTTCTCGCTGGCCATCCCATATTGCCTTCCTTTTCGCACCCTATAGCGTTTATAATGGTCGAACTTATCACGCATACGCCGTGTTGTGCGTTGATGGCTTATTACGATTCGAATTGTCATCGAAAGTGAAGCGATCTTTTTCTCCCCTTCTCTGTCTCTTTCACTCTCTCTCTCGCTCTATCTCGCTCTCTCTCACTCTTTCTGCCCGTTGCAGCACTTGCACTTTTCTCGCTTTTCTTTGGCGCTCACATTCGCATAAATTTTCCGCTGCAGCGGTCCGCATCATTATAAAAGCCTCACCTTGCCAGCTCGCCGCCAACAATCGAAGTTGAGACTCAGACGCGCCACAATGTCAGCGCCACGATCCCGTCACCATCATCAGCACCACCATGCGATCCACCAAATCCATCACATCCTCAGCCGGCGGCAGTGGTGCCTCTTCCTTTTGCTTATCGTAAGTAGAGCTCCACTCTATCCCAAGGATTTGGATCTATACGAGACCGCAAGGAGTACTTTGTTTTTTTTTTGTGACCCGCGATCAAGTGATATTAAGTGCATATTAAAAAACTAGCTTGTTGATTTGTGATACTGTTGCCTTTTAATATTGCAAACTCATAAAAACCAATCCAGGATCTCCTACACTGGTTAAAAAAATAGTCAGAAATCCATATCTGACTATTGAATTAACATCTTTATATTTCATATTTAAACTTTAAACCAAATGATAAGATTGAAAGCCATGCATATTTAATTGCATGATTTTCTATTTTTTTTGTATTATGTTAAAGTTTGAAATAAAATATTTAGATATTCAAATCTATTCCAAAAATAGTCAATTGTGAAATAAAAATAAAATGTAATATTTCCATATTTAAAATAGCTTAAAACCGCAATGGATAAGAATAAAATAAATATATAAACAAATATTAATAAGACATAGGAAAAATTCTAGGCATATTGTTCAGTTTGAATTTTTTAGATCAAAGTAAATTATATATATTAAACTCTCCTTTTTTTAAGAGAGAATTTTAGAGATTGAATTTTTTTAATAAAACAAGCATCGACCAAGACATAAATTGTAACAAACATCGGGCATTAGCAATAGAAATAATAGTAGAGAAATTCCGAAAAAGGACACACAAATTGTTTAAATCTAGTTTCGCATTAGGTGTTTGATCGGATGCCCATTCCCCTTTAACGATATCCATTTTGCGATCCGAAATTGCGTGCAGCAAGTATTTCATGCCAATGTTTCATTGCCCTCTCTTCTGGTCGAATGGCCATTGAACTTGGCCAACTGAGCTTGGCCAACTCAATCATACAAAAATTGAGCTGTCAGTCGTTCCCTCCTTCTCCTTGTTTTATGTTTATTTATTTTATCCTCCTCGAAAGCGAAAGTGAATTGGCTGAGTTTAATTGGTTTAATTGCGATGTGAGCACAAACAAATGGGGCCCAAACAAAGTGGCCAAGTGGAGTCAAGCCGGGATATTAGCATCGTTTGAGAAACCACGCACAATCACATTTTCTTTTAAGAAATCAAATATCATTTTCCGATTTCCAATTTTTAGAAGTTTCTTTTATAAAAGGTCCTAACATCTGCATACCACTAAAGTTCCTAAACTATTCAGCAGGAATTTTAATTTTTGTATAAATTCAATCCAGTAATAGAATTTCTACCATTAAACGTCCTAATTTATTAGGAAATAGGAACTTTAAATCTTTTTGCTTTTTATATTATTTTAAAGTAGGTTGCCCTACTTTACAAGTTCATATTACATTAAATCGTTTTCATTTAAAGATTTTCTTTTGATTTTGTAGATCAAAGTTAAGTCCAGTAATTGAATTTTTTTTTTTTAGATGTCAACACTTTGCAATGCCGTTTCAGTGACCTCAGGTACATCGGGCAATAGTCGCCGTCGTTCGGGAGGATCAGTAGGATCAGGAGGAGCAGGTGTATCCTCTTTGGAGGACACTGGCGATAAGACAGTGCCCGATCAGCTGGCTTTGGCAGCTAATCGTCGGGGATTGGATGATCGAGTCTACCCCAGGCGGGGATCGGTGATACACAGCAGCAGGCCAAAGGAGGCGTCTAGCAAAGGTAATTTTATTGTCTGACATTCCAAAGCACTTTATTATATGTTTCAGAAACAAAAAAAAATTTAACAAGAAAAGAAACAAGCTTTTTATAAAATGAAAGCCGGACTATATAAGACAACAACAAAGTTTTAATTTTTTTCATTAATTTTGCGATTGTTTTTATGGGAGCTATATGATATAATTTTCTGATCCGGACTGTTTTGACTTATATGCTAACTGCAATGCAAAGAAGTAGAATTTTAAACAGATAACTTTTAAACTGGAACAGACGGGCGGACAGACGAACGGACAGACGAACGGACAGACGAATGGACAGACGAACGGACAGACGAATGGACAGACGAACGGACAGACGAACGGACAGCCGAACGGACAGACGAACGGACAGACAAACGGGCAGACGAAAGGACAGACATCCATGGCTTGATTGTCTCTTTTAGGAATGCTGATCAAGAATATATTGAAAGAGTTTAATCAAAGTGCCCAAAAGTATGCAAATATTTACGTATTGTAGTTCAATATTTTTTACAAGTCACCCATAATAAACATTATTTATATTTCCCAGATTACAGCTATGGTCAGGTGGAACTGAATCTAGTGCGCCCAGAACAGGAATCGCATCCGAAACTCATTGTGAGCAGCACAACCGCAGCATCCGGATCCGGTGGCTCCGTCAATCTGGAGGACTCCCAATCGGCAGCCGAGTATGTGGTCAATGCCATTAAGTTGGCCTACAAACAGCCACCGGTGCAGATTCAGCTCAAGAGTCCAAACCAAAATCAGAATCAAAATCTGATTCAGAATCAAAATCAAAATCAAAATCTAAATCAGAATCTTAACCTTAAGGAACTGCAAGCCTCAACCCAGAGAAGTTATCAAGAGCAGAGGAACAGGGAGAGGGAGCTGCTGGAATTGCAAATGCACAAGGAGTTGCAACAACAGGCTTTGATCCTGGCCTCTGGATCCTCGTCGCCATCGTCGGTATCCCTAGGATCGGCCTCCTCCGCCTCTTCACCACCATCGCCCGCTTTGGCACCCGCTCCCGTCTACGAAAAGGAACCGGTGACCCGGAGCTATGAGCTCTATGAACCCTCCACCGAGGGCGATTCCCAGATTCAGGGACAGGAGGACATCGAACGACACTATCGACCCAAATACAGTAATAACAACCAATATAACAACTATAATGCCCCCTATCAGTACAGAAATCTGGAAGCCGAGGCCGAGGAAAAAGTTCGTGTATCTGCCTCTACGGAAATTCCCAAATCGGAGATTATGAAACAAATTGAAAAGTCGGTAATCAAGTATATGAAAGAACTGGAGGCGGAGGGTAAAATCATAAGTACGCCTCAAGAGCCGGCCACGCCCCCGTCGTCGTCGCCACCACCACCGCCGCCGCCGCCCCCGCCTTCGATTACCAAGACCTCCTACTACAAATCATCGGTCAACTCCGGTGCTTACCATATACCATCTTCTCACTCGGAAGAGAAACGCTATAGCAGCAGTACGGTGAGACCCAAGTATACGGCACCATCAACGACGACGAAACAACAACACCACCAGCAACAGGTCTACCATCAACAACAGGTGCACCACCAGCAACACCCACAGCAGCAGCACCACCACCAAATAGCTGGGAAACTAAGGAGCTCTTCTTCGATTTCAAAACCCATCCAGCAGCAGCAACAGCACTTTCAATCCGAAACGGAAACGGCCTATCAGGCACCCGATTTACCCGTTGACGAACTCAGTCCCAATGTTGAGTTCATCTACAAGATCAAGACACGAGCTCCACTGCAAACGGCCACGGTGAAGACCGTTTCGAAACCCTATACTCTGCCCCTGAAGAGTGCCGAACATTTTGATCATGGTGCGGCCCTGAAAAATATCGAAGAATTCGATCTCTCCCATGTGGTGCCCACGCCAGATCGGGTGGAAAGGGAAAGGGAGAGGGAGAGAGAGAGGGAGAGGGAGAGGGAAAGGGAGAGGGAAATCAGGGATAGAGAACGTGATTCTCGCGAAGATCAGAAGCAGCCGCACAAGTTGTACTTCAATTCCGAAATCTATCACGACATCAATGCTTTGCCCTATAAAAGTAAAGAGGCAGCTTTGCAGGAATATCGCCATAAGCTCAAGATCGGCGGATCCGGGGAATTACATCCGGATTATAAGGGGTATTCCGGTTATTTTGCCGAACCGGAAGGCGAGTTGGAAAACGAATCCAAGCTTGTTCTACACGAAGACGATTATCCCTATCAGTATGTGTTGAAAAAGGAACCTCTACTACAGGATGATCATGATTCCTGGTTGGAACAACAACAGCAACAGCCTCTACGCCTTGCCCATGGCCACACCCACACGCACAGCCATGCCCATTCCCATGCCCATGGCCACGCCCACTCGCACAGCAGCGGCAAGCATGCGAGTCTCGAATACGATAGCTATAGCCCTAAATTCAATAATAATCCCGAAGGTTATGGCTATCAGCATACGTACAAGGTCAGAGGTCAAGCGGTAGGCGGCGGTGGTTCAGGGAGCGTGCCCATCGCAGGGGGCGTGGCCTCGGGAGGTGGTAAGCGTGGAAAAAGGGGCGGCGGTGCTCATCCCAGACAAGAGGCGATTAAGAAGCAACTGCGAGCCACGGAGGTCAAGGATTTGGAAGCAAGTTTGGCCTTGAGGCCACCGCCCAAATAGTTAAACCCTCCCACCCCCCAAAGACTTACCCCCCATCCCCTTGTAGCTGATTTTATGCCAGAGTTTCGAAGCATGGTTGATTGTATATGATATTGTTTTTTTTTTGTTTGTTAGATACCTAAGTTTAAGTATGATTATTTATTGTATGGCCAACTAGAAAAGCGATAAAAAAAAAACAAATTACCCAAATAAACAAAATAATAAATAAATAAAATCAATGACATAGAATATAAAAAGATGATGTGCAAATTTTTACTTAATACCTCACATATGCTGGCTTTTGCGAAACTCATTTTCTTAATTTTATTAGAAATTTTTAATTAAAATATATATTTTGTTTGATTAATCAAGTCAATACGTTACACAATCAAGATTTCAAGACAATCTTCCAATAATTGTGTGGTCTTTAAGCGAGTGAATCATTCATTACCATGCCTATCAACATAAAAAAACTCAGAAAATGCAAATGCTACCTATGACGTTTATATACCCTTCCATAGGGTATAATAATATTGATAAGAAGTGTGAAATGCAGATAACGAAACGTTCCCTATAGAGTATATATATTCGTATATAGTTGACTATATCCCATAGCTTTTATATAACTGCATTACGCAGTTTATAAGCTTTCATATATTTTCGATATGACTGCAAGGGTATTAAGAGCTTGGCTTACTAAAGAAAACTTCCGTTTATTTATTGGGTTTTCATTTTTTTGTTTGTCTTTTTGTTTGCCTTTTTGTTTTGCTTAACACTTCGCTTTCATTTACCCAGCGGTGAGGTGAGTGTGTGTGTGCGTTCGATATAATTAAATATTTTTGCGTACAATTATAAAGCAGCCGCCCACAGGCCCACAAATGTTTTGATTGAAAGATCCAAAGATTCAGCCTCGGATTGTGTAAGACAAAGTAAAAGTGCCGCCGCCGCCGCCTTTGATTTGCATTTGCATTTTAAAGTCTCACTTAAATGCAAATACATCCGCCCGACATTATCGTTTTACATTTTTATTTTTAAGAACCCAGAAGAGATTTCTGGGCGAGAATCTGTTGTTAATGGCACAACACAGTGTCAAATATTTCAGTTACGTGAGACTTTGGCGATTTATCAGCAGCCCAAGCAGAGCAGCAACAGCAACATTGTGTCTATTTTTTTGTGGCTCAAATTCGGCCCCCGCTTACGCACAGATTTTATTCAAGATCATATGGAGTAGTTCGGTGGTCGTTGGTGGGTATAAAAAGTATTTTCACTGGCCAAAGCTAGTCATTGCTCACTCAGCATTCAAGCCCAAAGCCGCAAAGATGAAGCTCAAAGCTGGCATGGTGAGTGTAGTGTCGCGTCAAGTGAATCCTTTTTCCTCTACATGTTTTAATCAATCAACATTTCCAGACCCTCAAGCTCTTTGCCCTTTTGGGTTTCGTTTGCTATATCCAGGCCGTTGTGGTTGGCCCCCAGCAGCATTTGCAAAATAATAATCGAAATGGCTATCGCTACAATGGCCCCGCCCACAAATATCTGCCAGCGGAGGAATCGCACAATGGCAGCAGCAACTCGGACGCTGATCGCCAACATCAGGAGCAAAATCATCGTCAGCAGGGATACAATGGTCCCTACAACACGCAGCATTATGGCGGAGGACAACAGCAGCAGCAGCAGCATCAACATGGCCAGCAGGATGAGTCCTGGCAATCGGTTTTCCCCCAGCAGCAACACCAGAGCTTGGGACACCAGCAACATCATGAAAACTCTGGGAGCTATCAGCAACATCAGGGCTTAGGACCACAGCAAGGTCATCAGAGTTCCAGTCAGGAGCAATATTATCAAAGTTCCAGCCAAGAGCAACATCATTTGGCTTCCAATAAGGAGCAACATCATTTGGGTTCCAACCAGGAGCAACATCATTTGGGTTCCACTCAGGAGCTATATAAACATCAAAGTTCCAGCCATCAGCTTAACGAACATTCCTATGAGCCAGCTTATTCCCAGCAGCAACATCAGCAGCAACAGCAGCAGCAACAGCAGCAGCAACATTACCAAAATGTTGGTCACCAGCAGCAGCAGCAACATCAGCAATCTTGGAATTCAGTGCACCAGCAACATGAACGCCAAGAAATTGAACCCTGGCAATCTTCGCAGCAATACCAGCCGCAACAGCAGCAGCAACAGCAGCAGCAACAGCAGCATTACAATCGCTTTGAGCAACATCTGCCGTTGCGTGGTGACCTTTGGCAACCCATTAACGAACTTGACCTGGAGAAACTTCCTTCAGCCGAGGCGCATGCCAATAGCCACAAGACAATCGCCTCGCCAGGGCTGGTGCCAAGTTACACGCTTTCCAGCGATTCGGAGCACGATCGGTTCATTGGATTGGATGCTCTGGACACTCGTCTGCTGACCCAATCCCTGCCAGATGCCTATCGCAAGCAGATCTTCTCCTCGCCCTCGGCACCAAAGCAGCAGCAACATGAGCAACAGCTGGCTGGTTCACCAAACGAGAGTTTCCATGGTGGATCCCCTTCCGCTTCTGACTACCTGCAGATGCAGTCCCACTCGTACCAGCTGCCCTCCACACACAGCATCCACAGGGAATGGCCACAAAACGAGGAGCAGCAGCAACAGCGGCAACATCAGCAATATTCCAATGGCAATCGTCAGTACTCAGATAGTGCCTATGCCGTTGCCCCACCGTATCTGCACTCATCATCGCAACCATCGCAATCATCCAAGAATAGCTTGACCCATCCCAGCCGGGATTTCCAACCACCCTACTACGAAGCAACCAAAATCCAAATACCAACTCATTCAACTTCTTTGAGGGATCTTGCCGCCATAAGATCCTTGAGCATAGTTACAAAACCGTATTCTCAAGTACCAACTTCAACATTTGCATTTCGCAGGAAAAGCATTGGGTCTGAAAAGCAAAACTATTTTATATTTTAGCTAACTGTGTACAGATAATTACATTTTAAAAACTTTTTTTTTTATATTTAATAAAGCATGCATTGGAAAAATAAGAACGTATTGTTTATCACAGATTCGGATTTGGCAATTGATTCAAATTTTATAAAATGTGTACCCAAAAATGTACACAAAAATACATTTTAAAAACTTAGTTTTAAATAGAGCATGCCTGATGTTGTGCCTTACCACAGATTCGGAAATGGGAAATTGTTAAAATTTTACAAAATCTGGAGTCTAACAGTTTCGCTTTTTTTTGCTATGCATAAACATGTTGTAATAAGTATTTTCTTAGCTCGTTAGAGTATTTGTCCTCATAATGAAATTTTTAATAATCCATAAACTAAAACAATACACACTATTGTTATTTGTGGTATATAAAACAAATAAGGCTGTTTTTTTGGCGCTCAAGTGATATCATTCCAAACGGGAAGCAGCCACGACCTTCGTAGTTGTAGAAAAGCCAGCGTCGCTAATTTGATTACGATTTTGGCAGATAATTGCGAGAATTATGTGATTTTCTCATACCTGCTTATATGCTGAGTTGTAGCGAATTATGTGCCATTGGAGGGCCACCAAATTAGAGACGATTTTTGGTTTTCTCGAGCGGGGCTTCCGCTGGCCAAGTGAAGGTAAAACAAACAGAAACCGCACTTGAAAAAAAACACCCGCAAGTCTGCAGTGTTGCAGAAATGATAACAACAGCACGGCAGCAGCTTTCATTGCAGGAAACTCTGGCAGCAACAAGTAAATATTGCATTCGCAGGCAAATCCAGTGCTCCCTTTTTGGCACATTATTTGTTATGTTTAATGCTATGGTTTCGATCAAGTCAAGTCAAGTCATCGAAATTGAAACTGAAATGTTACCGTCGTCGTCGTTGTTGTCGTCGTGCGAAAGCGATCAATGGACAGCAGCAGCAACGCAAAAAAAACTGACAGCAGCAAAACACCAACTGCCCATTTGCTGAGGTTAAAACTGGCACTTTCCTTTTTTAGTTGGAAAATTGCTATACGGAAGTTGGGGAATTTTACAAAATATGAAATGAAATAAAGAGTTTGGAGTGAAATATATTATTGAAAAGCTTTTTAGCAAATATTTGCAGAAAAAAATACTTAAGAGATTTAAGCAATGATCCAAAAATATAATGTCAGAGCTGTTAACTAAAACCACACCAAAAGTACCGCAGTTAACATATTACTTTCCTGCTGAAAAAGAAACCCCCAGACACAGAAAAAAAAGAGTAAGTATAAAAAAATATATATGCATTTCACACTTTTCTCCTCACTCGCTACTGCGAAAATGATCATCACATATCATACTATACTATTTTCTGTGCAACCAACAGCCAATTTCTCAAGTGGAAAATTTTACGTTCGAAGGGCGACGAAGAGCAAAAGTCTGCGGCTCAGTTACATGGGTTGTTGATCGCACAAAAGACAGCGATGACAGCAGCAGCAGCAGCAACAATTTTTAAACTTGTAACATTGCAACATCGTTTTCGCAAGCGCCAAAAACCGAAAAATCATTTAATCAGAATGAGGTTTAATATTAAAACTAGAGAGTTTAAACTGTTCAAAAAACTGGGCGTGTTTTAATGATCGTGGTGGTGGGCAATCGAAAGGCAGCAATTGGATGCCAGATTACGCAACCAAAAGGAAGAGATTGAAGTGGAAGGTGGAGTGGAGTGGAGTGGAGTGGAGTATCGGTTGCAACGGAACCAAAGATATCAAATGTCTTTGGTGCATTTTCATATATATGCCCGAGTTGTGAGAGCCACTTCAGGCATTTGCCATCGACAATCATCTTAAGCTGCATGCTCAGGATTTTTCCAAATGCACATCCTACTGATCCTGCTCATCTGCTGTTTTACACTGCTGACGGCACAGCAGCAGCAGCAGCAGCTACATCCCTCATGGCTTTACTCGATGCCCTGGCGTCCTTTGATCCTGCCCACGGCAACTCCATTGTCGGGAATGGCCCAGCTGAGTCCTGGTTACAACACGGGTCCCCAGACATTTCCGCCAGTTCCAGAGGACCAACAGCAACGGCAGCAGCATCCATACAACCTCCAACTGCAGCAGCAGTATAAGCAACAAATTCAACAGCAATATCTACAGCCTACATATCCACAACAGTCCATTCTAGTGGGTTTATTCGCACCACAGCTGCAGGCTCATCCATTGGCAGCTCCTCCACAGGCAGGACATTTCAGTCTGCCTTTCAGGCCATCACCCTTTGCCGGCTACACGGATGACGAAGATGCTGGGGGTCAGGGAAATGGCATCCAGGAGCAACAACAACTGGAGGAACCTCCCTTCCATGCCCATTCCTATAACAAACCAGTGGCGGAGAGATCGGAACAGTCAAGGGGAGATGAAGGTTTTGGGAGAGCAGTTGCACCGCTAAGCTATGTATATTTATCACCTAGTAATGTTTATAATCTGGTAAAAAGTTAGGCTGCCAAGTCTCTAAATTATAATAACGTTAATCTAATGAATAACACTTTTTTTTAGATTTTAATAAATTAACAAGAAACATTAAAACATTTATTTGAAAAAAAATTAAATGTGTGCTTTTCACACATAACTGGAAATGTTAATTTCCATAATTAATTTTCTTCCCACACACACACACATTCACTCTCTGGGGGTCTGGGTACAAATCCCAGTTTGAAATCCCATTCCCAGGCCTAATTCATGTCCAAGTCAGGGTCTGGGGCAACGTGTAAGGCCCGCTGATGCTGATGATGACTCGCCCACTGTCGGAGGCCGGCTTTTACCATGGGCGGATTTTGGATTTCGGATCTCTGGCAATTTGTTGCCACTTTCAAATGCCTCAATTACGACCGTGCCGTCTCGTCTTGTCTCGCACAAGTCGCAAATCGCCAAAATTATAACTCGATCGACGTGGCAGGTGTGACCTTGGCATGCGGACTGCGCAACTGTCTGGGTGCCAGGCAATTACATCAACTAAAAGCTCTGCGGTGGCACACGACCGTTCAATGTTGAATGTTGGCAAAAGAAAAGGGCACAAAGCGAAAACAAATCGTCGGGGCAGTAGAAGATAAAGTTGTAGACGCACCAGCCAGTACTAGCACTTGTACAAATGTAGTCTTTAGACTAAGCGGACACCAATTAAATATTAAGTTTCAATTAAACAGTTTGTGCGTTCCATTATTTTACGAGAGCCATTACAAAATTTATTAACATAGAAGAAATAAATATATTTCTACAAATATATGAAATATTGATAATATCTTTGTCCACAAAAATTCATAGTTTTGTATAAGAATTACAATTGGGATAAGTTTACACATCATGATTTGATGTGCCTTTAAAGGCTCACATACCATGAGTTTTAACCACAGCTTCAGTGGTTCCTAAGAACCATTGCTTTATGTGAATTCAATACTTTTTAAGGTATCTCAAGTATAAATAAAATTATTATTTACAAAAACATATAAAAAAAAAATATATATATATATATATATATATATATATATATATATATATATATATATATATATATATATATTTTTTTTTTTTTTTTTTTATATCGTTTTTTATAAGAATTATAATTTGAATTAATTTACAATTTCGTACAAGATCTGATGTGACTTTTAGCCCCCACATACCATCAGTTCCAACCACAGCTTTTGTGGTTCCTAAGATGGGGACTTATTACTGTTTTAGGTAACTCAAGTATTAATACAACTATTAGGGAAAAACTACGCTTGATGGTCGTCGACTGACTAATAGATGACCCAAACCATGGACAAAGTAATACAAGTAAAAAAAAAGAGGGAACAAGGTGCACATCATTCATGACCCAGGGACGTCGACTGCATACATAGATATATCGCCTGTGTTTCAGCTAAGTCCATTAGCTAGATAAGGGTCAATACTAAAAGGATGGGAACGTGGTTCAAAGCGTCATGAAAACGCCCAAGCTATTGCCAAATCGTAATCCACAGCAGAGACCCAAAATAAGATCCCAAATGATAGCAAATCAACTCGCTTTTCGTATAATAAAAAAAAATCGCGCAGCTAAAAAAAACAGCAACAATTAAAAGGCGAAGAAAGGGAAAAACAGCAAAGGCAAACCCAATTTAATATACCCTTGCAGCTTATAAAAAAATTATAAAACACTTTTATATCGATTTTTATGCGTATATAATTACAAACATTGAAGATATGCCCATTTTTGGCTAAATTTCTGATCATTTTTATGCCAACTATAAGATATAGTTTGTAAGATTTTTATAAAATATCAATTTATTTACTATATTATATAAATGTTATATTATATTATTTGCGTTGCAAACTTTTGACTAAAAGTATAAAACGCCCAGCAAAGGTACAACAAAATAACAGAGGGGAAAGCAGAAGAGGAAAGAGACCTGTTGCTGTGAATTAAATGCAATTTACGCAGAGCGTAAGACATAAGAGAAGGGAAAAATGGGCAAAGTTAAATCGGAAAAACACATAAAAACAACAACAACCAGGGGGCGTGGTTAAGCAGACATGAGATATTCAAGTGTCACTTGAACTTGAGTGGCACTGTCAAGTTGGTAAAAAGCACAGTGGTTAAATTAGTTACAAAAGAAACAAATTCAATTTTTTAGCACAAAACAATATGTTTTTTTGAACCCCGTTCGATTTAAGTAAAAACCTTTGTGAATCTTGCGTGAAATTAAAGTAATAACTTGTAGCACAATAAGTAAATAAATAAATAGTATACTAAGATTAATACCCAAGTTCAAAATGTTCATATCTTTTAGATATTTGAGTTAATAAGATTACATTTCTTTCCAAAGGGACATTTGTAATTGGTTATCTGATTGCCATTGGCATAAAAAAATTGTTTAAAAGCATATAATTAAAATGGTACTCACCCTGGATTATTTGCAGTTTTTATTTACCCATAGACATTCGCTTCTTTTGTTGTTCAGTATTTTTATGTCATCCTCTCTCTCTCTTAATAAGTAGAAATCCAAGCGGGGGGGAGAAGGGAGTTGCGACCCCCTTTTTGCGTAGCAACAAAACATCCTATTGCAACAAAAATAAAGATTAAACATCATATTACAGCAAGAAGAAGGATTAAAAAACATTAACGATATTTAGGCAAACCGCTTGGCACTTTTTACTACACGTGATGGCCAATTTCGAGGTTATGTTCACTTGACGCTTGCGTTCCACTGCGCACTTGAAGAAATGTAAGCCGCCTTTGAAATTGTTGTATTATATCAAATGTAAGCAATCCCAAGCGATATTTGATGATTTTAAACATTAATAAATCAATTCGTGGCCCAATTTAGCAGGAGCTGCAAATCTTAAGCTGTGCACGCCACGTTGCTGCCGAATGATGAAATTTAAATGACGCTCTCTTCGTCTCTCTCTCACCTACGATCGTTGAGTGGAGAGAAATAGTGGAGAGATCAAGGATACAGTTACGTTGGAGAAGCTTTCACAAGAATATTTGAATATGCACATATGTTACATACATATGTCTATTAGACGGATATAATTTATTTTTTTTATTTGATGCTAAAACTGGTCTTAAGAATTATTAGTTATTTACTCGTTACTTTTAACAAATACAATACAAGGTATATATTATATGCATATGCATAACAATTTATAACTTAATTATATGCCAACAGTTAAGATGGTTTTATTACTAATTTTAAAACATAACTAATTTCTTATAGAAGTTATAATACAAAGTGTAACAACATTAAAAATTAGAGACCGATTTTAGCACTTAAAAAAAGTTTATCGACAATAAAACTATTCCCATTTATGTATATTTCAATTTAATAAACTTTGATTGCAAGATTCCATTTAAAATACTTTAAATAAAATAATTGATTTTATGCATAATTTATTTATTATTTAATTTATAATACACACAATATTGCGCCACTGTGCGGCAAACAAGAGTGAGAGTGAAACAGTAAAAGGTTGCAGCGCAGTCAGCGTCGACGTCGACGTTTGTGGCAGAAACAAAGGAACCCGAATACCGTTGCTTTTTGCGTGCGTGAGACCGAGGGAGAGAGTGCAAAGAGAGCAGCGAAAATGGCCAAAAGCGGAGTCGAAAATGTTGGAGTTCCGAGTGGAGTTTTGAGTGACGGTTAGAAAAAAGGTATAAAAGGGTCGTCATTCGCAGAGGTGGCCAACAAAGCGCCAACGGCAGCGAATCGAGTCGCGTCTTATTTTCCATCGTAAACGCGAGCGACAGGGACAACCATACACGATCCAAGGATAACCGTACCGACATTTTTTTTTTACCCGTTTTTTTTTTGTGTGTGCGAGCATGAAATTTGCCGGAGTACCGTTAGCGGGGGCTTTGCTTAGCTGCTGCTGCTTCTTCTTCGTTCTGGCAACTGCCTCTTCTTCTTCTTCTTCTGCTGCTGCAGTTTCCGCTGCTTCTGCTTCTTCAGTTCCCGTGTCTTCTTCTTCAGATACCGCTGCTTCTGCTTCTGCTGCTTCTTCAAAGCCAAAAAGAGACGCAGGATTGAGTTTTGGTGGAATCTCCAGCTATCACGGCCCCTCCCACAAATATCTGCCACCTGCCTATGAAAATCACCTGCATTTCGGCGGTTACCATGGAAATTCCTTGGGTGCCGGTTCTTCTGCCGGCTATTCCGATTACTCCGGTGGTCACTTGGATGGTCACGAGAGCAGCTACGGCCATCATTACGGACAATCCGGTGGTCACGGTGGCTACGCCGGAAGACCCCATCATTATAGCAGTGGTGGAAGTCCCAAAATCGAAACATACATTGTGCAAACCAGCGGCGGTTCCGGTTCCGGTCACAAATACCATGGTCAGGGTCATGGAATAAGTCACGGAATTAGTCACGGCATAAGTCAGGGTCACGGCTCCGGATTGGGCTATAAATATGCACCATCCTCGAGTCAATCCTATTTAAGTCTACTGGGAAACAGCCACAAAACCAGTACGTATGTGGTTGCTTCGCCCGAATTCTCTGGAAGTCACGGTGGAAGTAGTCACGGCATTGGCTATGCATCGGCACCAGTTCATAGACCCAGCTACAGCAACGGCCACCAACCAAGTCACAGCTATGGTCAAGGTCACGGTCACGGTTTTGGTCATGGCATCAGTCATCATCAGATCAGCCACGGACCCAGTCCGGTATCCAGTCACAGTTTGGATCACAGCCTGGAGCATGCTTTGGAACACGGACTGAGTCACGCTTTGGCCTTGGGTCACTCCTCTGGAGGAGGACAATTTGCCCAGCACCCGTTGCCGGTGCCCTTGCCCCATCCGGCGGAGGATCATTCCGGCTACTCCTACGAAGCCCCAGCTGCCACACCATTCGGCAAGGGAGGAGTGCCCCTGAGCAGCTATGGCGTGCCCCTGATTCCCGGCTACGATCACCAGGAGTCACTGCAGGAGCCAGTGCAAGTGCAGGTCCTGGATCATCAGGAGCAGAAGGCCGAGCGCGATCAGGACCAGAGGGAGACCCCGGTTTATGCTTTGGGTCACAAGGGACTGGGTCACTTCACCTATACGGCTAGCAAGCCACAGGCCCTGCACACCGATATCCTCGGCTCAAGTCACGACATTGAGCTCTCGAAGGCGCCTTTCAAGCCCAGCGCCTTTTTGGGCGCCAAGCACGAGTCCGGATCCAATTCCATTTCCGGCTACGATTACGCCACGCCCAGCTCTCCGTTTCCACAGGCGCCTCCCTCCTCGCCGGGCTACGACTATCCGACTCCGGCGCAGCTCTACGGACCACCCGGTCACTCCGGCGACTCGGCCACGCCCATTTTCGAGCCGGAGGCCACATACTTGCCGCCCGCCAGTAGCTATGGCCCACCGGCCACCTCCTCCCATGGTTATCACTAAATTATTAAAACAGTTTTAAGATCTTCTTAGTTTTTTTACCCCTATCTATTTTGTACTGTAAGCCAAGATCGAAAAATAAAAACGAAAACTATGAAATCGAGAAAGTGTTTTAAAAGAAATGGTAAAAGAGAGGATAGATCATCTGGAATAGGAAGATATTTTTATAGTTCCCTCAAGATTTATATTCAAGATCTAGAAATCTTTTGACCGCAAAACAATCTTACCATAAGCCAAACCAAATACTCATGGTTTTCTGTAATAAAATTAGAATATTAAACAGGTCAAATCAAATTGTTTTAATTTAAAAAGCGAAATGGAACTTTCTCAGCCTATAAATTGGAAAGATTCCAGGCAATTAAAATGCCAGACACGTCGCCGATTTTGGCAGTTTTCTCTCCTCTGATTTGTGATTACGGATTGCTTCGATTTCGGATTTCGCTTGAAAATTGTGATTCGCATTTGATGCATGAAACTATATCAAACTAGTGGATGGGAGGGGACGTCAAAAGTGGGTGTGGATCGGCCAAAACGCCGATTGCATTGGCAATGAGTCAAAAGCGATCCACTTAAAAATCATACACGTTTAGCTGAGGGAATGTGAATTTACTTGGCTTTGCTTTCGCACAGTTGTAATTAAAGGAGTTGGATGATCAAGTAATAATAATAATGAGGCGTAAGAACAATGTTATATAAGATCACCATAAAATAGTACCAATATTTATATGGAAATATGATAATTATGAGGCGTAGGAAAAATGTAAGACCACAAAATAAAAATAATAAAAGTTACATAAGATCACCATAAAAATATTAAGGAGAATTATGATAATAATGAAGCATAGGAATATTGTTTTATAAGATCATCATGAAATAGTGCGTAGATTTAAATGCAACTATGATAATAATGAGGTGTAAATAAAATGTTATATAAGATCATCATAAAAGTAGTACGGAGATATTAATATAACTAGGTGTTCTAGGTCTCAAAAAGATAGGATCTATTATGAATATGACAAATGGTGATCAACGTAGAGGCTTGCCCAATAACAATTGCCTTGAGCTTTTTTTTATCGTTAATCCAGTCCCAAAAAAAAAAATATCCCGTACAAATAAGATCGAAATTCTTATTTTATTAAGCATTGCGTTATAGTTTTTTAAAGATTAGTTTCTTTAGGAAGAACAATTGTTTAATACCACGAGGTTCTATTAATTTAACAGAAATCTTCAGTTAGAAGAAGAAAGGGGAAAAGGAAAGAAAAGTTTTTTAAAGTCATAAATATAAACAAACAAAAACAAAAGAAAAGAAAAAAGATTATTAAGACTTTCTGTTTAGAAAAGAGCATAATTGGTAACCACAAAATGCAACCAACTGATTCTTCGCGAAATGGCACTCAATCTGCATAATCCACTTGTTCATCTCCAGATTGCACCATTCACCTCCGGATGATGGATGGTCAACGCACTCGCAGCAGTCTCTCTGTTTCCATATTAATCATAACTCTTTAACTTAATTCCATTTCCCATTCCCAATTTGCGTTGCGCAATGATTGCGATTCGCCCAACCAGTTTTGAAGCATTTGATCCTTAAGTCGCTGACCCACATCAAAGAAATCAAGACGCGCAGCTTAACGTAACGTAACGTAACGAAAGTGAAAGGATGACAGCTTTATAGGCTCTGATCGGATCGCATTAGTAGATCATCATGCCAGGGGATCTCTTTCACTTGAGTGACTTGAACTTGAGTGCCCACTTGTAACTGACATCTGTTTCGGAAGCGGTCAGAATTAGCCCAGCGAAACGTGACTTAAGACGGAAATAGAAAACTTTGGCTACACTGGTAAAAAAAAGGAGTGATTCAAGCATTTTTCTACTCAATTTTAATCATGCAATTTAATGTGCATTTTATTTAATACTATAGTTTTTATATGTAATTTAAATGTGATTAAGCTACATATTTATTTGTACTATTCCATTTTGTTGTCAGTGTAGGTTTTCCAAAACCTACTCCAAGTTCATTGTATTGTATTTCTTGGCCCGCTGTTACGGCAGTTATTTAAATCTCTGAATAGGCACGAAATTGCATCATTATAAAAAAGCGAAACAAATAACTAAGCTAGGGGAACGAACCTAATCATTAGACACCTGTTAAAATCAAGCAATTGGTTTGTACATTTTTGTTGGGATTTAGGGACTACATTAAATTAACTATATCTTGTAATAAATAATGCCTAGAAGCATTGGTCGAAAAAGATTTAGTAGATCTTAATTAGACCTATCTATTTACATCTGAAATGTAGTATATTACAAAGTTAAATATATAAATGTGTTATTATTTAATTTACCATAGATATTTATTGTAATGTAATATTGAGAAGAGATTGTATACCCCTGCTAGAGATCTATTCAACTCTACTTTATAACAAATACCACGCTGAGACTATAAAACAAACTTAAAGAAGCACACAAGCTGTGGCTGAGGTAATCCCCCAGATATTTTATAGGCAGGGTCAAGGCTTTTACGTAAGTTCCGCTGGCCGATCTTCTTTCTTTCTTGGAAGCTTAACTGTGTCGACAAGTTCATTCAGGCACAACAATCGAAAGGCGAACAAAAACAACAAAATATTAGATAATTTTCGTATGAGTCAGTTCAACAAAGGGTCCAAAAAATGTGACAGTTGTTACAATGGCGAGAGCAAGAAGAAAGATCAACTTGTGTCAGTTTAACAAAGGGTTAAAACAAGTTGACAATTGTTACAAAGTTGAGAGCGAGAAGAAAGATCAACTTATGTCAGTTTAACAAAGGGTTAAAAATAGACAGCGAGAAAAACGACCAACTTATGACAGCTTTATGACTGATCATTGGTTGTCGATAAGCGATGATCGATCTATAAAATGATTTCGTATCGAGTGCGAAATTTTGACCGAAAATCAAGGCCCAAAGGGGAGTGGGCTTAAATATGGTCACACATTACCAGCCAAATGAGCCATAAAAAAGGTGTTAAATAATTTCATTTCGTCGTTATTGTTGTAACCAGTTGTTAAGCCCCTCCCCTTTTATGTTTTTCCCCCTTTTGCTTTGCGTATTTATGGGTTTTACGCCTGATTTTTGTTAATTTTCAACAGGTGAGACTTCACATTTCATTTCACTTTTTTTTTATTAAAGTGCAACCAGACACAGCAGCGACATTCACTTTTCATTTGCTTTTTTGTTTTCATTTTTTTCTTGACCCACGTCTCCGGTTGATTTTTTGCATGCGGTAATATCTGTTGCCATTTTTTATATCATTTATTTATGGCATTTTCTGCACAATCATTAATTTATCGTATTAGCTGTACAAAAAAAATTAATCAATTAACATGTAAATAAGTAAGAATTTTGGGAAAGCAAAGATTTAATTTATTTCTTAACCATTTTTTTTTAATGTTTGAAAACTAAAGTCCTAAAGTGTTTGCTTTGAGAGTTTTTGGTTCTTAATTCATAGTTTAAATTCCTTGAAACGCTTGATTCTATAATACTGGCATTTTCTGCACAAGCCTTAAATCTATTAGTTATCAGTAACTTATTATATTTTCTATAAGGTTTTAAGAGTAAAAAAAGACTTCACTTATTTTAAAGCTTCTGTTTTTGTTGATAATTCATTAATTAGTTTTATATTTAAAAACTATTTTCACAGCACTGGTAGCATTTTGTGCAGTTATCAAGCACCACTCATTCTTAAGTTCAGCTGATTATATTATATGCTAATATTCGATACGAACTAACCTGACCAGTTCTTCTCTTTCTTGATTATGTACCATACTTTAATATCTCATTTTCGTCACTGTCCTCGGCCAGTTCTTCTGGACTAGCGTGATCCTCCTCTTTTGGCCATTGAAACTCCCCATCCCCATAATCTTCCTCTAAATTAGCATCCTTTTGGATCTGAAGATGATCCTTGAAAGCAAGGGCCGGACTAAACAGAGGTTTTTGCCTTACAATTCGATCGTTTAAATGGCCACTTGCTGAACTGTGACGAATCAACTGATTGCGGCGCATATAATCTGCTCCACAAACGGAGCAAATATACGCCTTGCTAATGCTATGGACAAAAAGATGAACATCTCGGTTTTCGGCTCGACCAAAGAGCTTGCCACATATCGGACAACCGTAGTTCTTTTCGGCAGTATGCGAGGCCAAGTGTTTCCTGTAATTTACGGGATGACTGAAGCTTGCCTTGCAGGTCTCGCACACAAAGTTTCGCTCTTTGCGGTGGACCGTTTTTATATGCTGATCCCGTTCGCGTTTCTGCTGAAAACGCCTTTCACATCCCATTTCCGGACAGGCGTGCAGATACTCCTTCATGTGCGTGTTTCTTAGATGGCAATCCCTATTGCTGCGCTGCACAAATCGAGCCGGACACTCCGGACATTGATAGTTCCGTTCACTTTTGTGGGAATTAATGTGATCCACGAGGGCGTTACGTCTTTGAAAGACTTTTCCGCAGGTGTCGCAAGTCAACTCTGCACTAGATTTCTTCAACTGACCATTTTTAAGTCGGTGGATGGTGCGATGGGCGGCTAAATCCTCCTTGCTGAAAAATACCTCTGGGCAGTGTCTGCAGGCGAAGGATGCTGCGGATCCTGAAAAGAAGATTAAAGAGTTAGTTAAGATGTTAGAACAACCAAATGCTTAAACTTTATGAATTAGTTTAAATGGACAGTCATTCAGTTATTGGACCATTAATTTAATAGTTATGGCCAAAATACTAATATTTTTAATTGCGAAAAATTTGGACATTTTGCAATAACGTTCTTTTGCGTTCTTTTTTTATGGTTGTAATTTTGCTATTGAAATAAGCTTACTCTGAAGTACTCAAGTATCATGGAAAACAATTGGTACTGTGTACCTGTGTTATAACTTATTATTGCACATAAGTTTCTATTTAAGAAGTTTTTAGAACCAGTAGACTAAAGATTTAAAATTATGGTGTAGTTACTGCAGAGTTATTGTTCAATCTACTATATAGGCGTATACATCGTCATCTTAACTATTTAACCAATAACTATTAACTTTTTCAAACTCACCGCCTTGTTGGTTTCCCAGATTCCGCTCCTCAAACTCTTGTTCTTCCCGTTCCAGGGCCAATTCTTCATCATAGATCTCTGATCTCAAAATCATGTCCGCATCCTCCTCTTCCTCCCGTTCGCCTTCTTCTTTCATGGCAAACAAGGTCTTGAACCTGCCGACATCGTATTCCATAATTTTTCGCTCCATTTATTTGAATAATTCAATAAAAACGAGGTAAGTTTTGCAGTATTTTCATTTCTTGTTTTGTTTTTGGTTTTTTAGAGATGGGATAGACTAAGGGATTTTAAATGTACTAACGCTTCCTTAGGAGTGAACAAGAAAAAAATCAGATATGGGCAGCACTGTTTCATGTGCTTCTTATCGATTGTTATCGAATTTAAATTTTGAAGGCTCAAGAGCTTAAAAATGTGAAATGTAATAATTTGGTCCTTTATCATAAAGACAACATTAACAAGACAAATCCTTTGCAAAAGACAAAATTGAATAATATTAAAACACCTTTTACTATTTGTATTTTAATCAATTGTTATGCAATTTATTTATCCGCTATGTAAATATAATTTGTTCACAACTGTTATATAATTATTTTCATTTTTCGTTTCTTTTAATGTTTTGCTTTGTTTTGATTTTTAAGCGGCTGCTTTTAACAATTGTTTCGACTTCGATTTCGATTCGCTTTTATCAACCGATCTGCAATCTATATAATTCTCACGTTTTGGATGATTTTACGCGAGTGGCTGGTTTTTGCTCGTATTTTTTAGATTCTTCTCTTGTATAATTGTAATTTGGTTTAGCTACAACTACTGGGTGACGTTCTTTTAATTTTCCTTTTGCCCCCATCGATTTTGTTTGCTTTTAGAAATGTTAACAAATTTACAGACTTATAATGTTATTACAATAATTATGTATTTATATATATATTTGTTGGTTTATTTATATATGTATAGATGCAATATATAATATGCACTGAAATGTGTCAACAGGATTTTGGATTTAGGATGTTGGATGGGATGAATGTCAGTTTTAAAAGGGGTAAACAGGAAATATCATCTTGTCCATTATCTTAAAAACTGATTTCTCTAAAATTCGTCTTACTTCTCGTTTACTATATAAGATTGGAATACGTAGTAGTTTGCTCTCTTCTACTCACTTTAATACCATTAATTGATGGTTTTTGCGTCAATTAAAGTACGGAAAAAGTGCGCTATAGTCTCCATTTTATTTTTCAATGGTTTAAACGTGACAAACACTTTGGTTTATACCTTTTTTCGGTACATACACACACGTTTCGTGTTTAATTGCGTTTGATTTAATGTGTTTATTTAATAAAATTCCTTTTGCTTTAGAATTTAAATGCTATAAGTAAACAGCTGCCTTTTTTGGTATTATCCCACAGATTCTATATCCTTTGCTTGGTTTTCGGGCTTTAAAATCTATTTTGGCTTATCGCTTATCGACTCAACTACACTACACTACACTACATACGAAACATTGAAACACTTTTGCTTTTCGAGTTTTCTAAAAAAAAAATACTTTAAAAATATTTGCAAACCTCGCACACACACACACACGCACACACACAAACAGTCACACAAAAACTACTGCTTAGTTATATAGAATTAGGTAGATCGTACGTATATATATATATATATATACAGAACAGGTTTTGCATTCCTTTTCTTAGAGTGTTCTAACATTTTTTCAACTAACTTTTCTCCTCGAGTGTTAACTTTTGCTAATATATTTCCTGTGCAAACTACAACGGAATTGTGGGTGGTGGTGGGAGGAATGCTCAGAGCGAGACAGCGCGATCGACAGAGTAGGAGAGCGAACGAGACGGAGTATTGGCGAGTGTGTGTTGTGTGTGCGTGTTGCGATTTCTCAACATGGTTGAAGTGGTTTTTTTTTCTTTCTATATTTGCGTCTGCACAGCAGAGAGAATACATTTTTAACTTTATTTTCCCTTTTTGGCATTTTTCAATTCGCTTGTGTGCCCAGCTGCGGTCAAAATAAAAGTGTGGCCTTAGTGCGTAGAGCTTCACACAAAAAATAGGTTTTTAAAATGCCTTATTTGAAGTACACTTAATTCGAAAATTAATTAAACTAAAAACTAAAGTCTATTTAAGTTTAAAATGTTCACAAAATGTAATTCTTTATTTTTTTCCTTTATTTGTTGTAGAAACAAAATAGTTTTGGTAAAATTCCTCTTTAGCCTTAACCCTTTAAATAAATTTGTAAAACTTAAATAAAATTAAACAATTGGTACAATTTACATTTTATTCAATTTTTCAAAATTCTAATGGCACTACATTTATTTTGCCCACAACTGTTCGCATGTATGAGTGTGTTGTGTGTCTTGTATTTTGTGTAAGATAATTATGTTAGTTTTTATAAAATGGTTGTGTGTGTTTGCCATTGTGCCAACAACTTTTGTGAGTTGCTTTTTTTTGTTTTTGTTGTTGTTTGTGTTTGATGGTTTGTCTGGCTGCCTGTGTGTTTTTGGGTAACTGCAATTCTGTAATATAATATATATGTATATATATTTATATGCATGTATATATAGTTGTATATAAAAAGAGCATTTCGTTATTTTTTATGCCTAACGAGGGTTTCCTTCTTTTACTTTATCCTTTTAAATGCAGTTATTGACCTGAACATTGTTTGTGGTTGTTGTCGATTAATTAATATTTCTTATGCTTGCTCTATATTAAGTATGTATGCATTTAATGTATGTTTATGTTTATGTATATGTATGTTTGCTTGTTTATCATTTTGCATTGCTGAATTCATTTTTAAAATAGTTGAACAACTTGGTATGGCTTCTTTTCGTTTTCGTCTTTTCCTATTTTTATATTGCTTGAGTTAAGAACTTCGCTTTTCTTGTGGTTTGCTTCTCTAAAATGTTAAACTTTTAATTTATTTTATGTTTTGTTTTGTAAAATGTTTTCCGCTGAAGTTGTTTTTTCTTCCTTGTGGTTTTTTTCTTTGTGTTTTTGTTGTCTTGTGCTTTGTTGTTGCTGCTGGTTTTTCATAGTTTGTTTTTAGATTTCTGACGTCACAAAAATTTTACGTACGTGTTGCTGTGGTTGTTGTTGTTGGTTCTCGCAACGGATTCTCAAACAATAAAATAATGCAGCGTAAATCGCTTATGCAAGTTAAAAAAAAAATTGGATAATAAATATAAAAAAAACACACACACTTCTTATGAAAATATAAGTTCTTTAATGGCGAAAAAGCGAGAGACAAAGACGGAACTAGATTCTCGAGAATATTGCAAAAAACTTGTTAATGTTCAAGAGCTCCTAGCAATCGTTCGCCGACGGTCTCTACCCGCTTTTTCACCCGTTTTAGATCATATTTTTTGGGGTCGAGGCTTACAATCTGTTGTAAATAAATAAATTTGTGCTTAAAACTAAATTGTACTTAACTAAGGCTTTTAAAATATACATGTATGAATAGTGGTCACAAAAAAAATATTCGTTATAGTTGATCTTAGTTATGTACTATATATATATAACAATAGGCAACAACACAGAGCAGAGAACTGATGTAGGTTTGTATACGGCTTTATGCGGCACAGCACCGGTTAAAATAATAGTAATAAATCTTGTAAAATTAAAAAAAAAGGTCTTGTAGATATTGCTCATACATAATGCAAATGTAGTTGGAAATTGTAAATTGTATAAATATTGCATAATAATGTCCAACCAAAAATACATTAAATTAAATGTACAAAACATGTTGGGAATTATAAGGTACTAGTACTATTATTTTGACCGCTACTCTTGACATTTTAGCACATTATTAAGCAGCTTTTGCAGTTTTGAATCAATCAGAATAGGTTGAATTTTGTACAATATACATTTATATATATGTGTGTGTGTGTGTGTGTGTGAGTTCGTTTCATTTCGTTGTGTGTGACCTAGACAGAGCGTTGATAGAGAGGGACAGAGATATCTAAACATAAAAACAGGCAGGGTTCTCCAAATTTCCAATGCAGTTTCTTCCGCTTCCGCTTGCGCTCACTTTTTCTAGCTGCTTTGCCTCCAATTGTAATCGCTGTAGAATCCGCCACGTTCGCTTTTCATTTACCCCTCAACGCGTCCGCCGCCTGGAGCTGCCATTCCTGGTGTCCTGGCGCGGATTGGACAATTCTTATGACGTCTCTAAAAATCATACCTTGAAGGTCTTCTCGCGTCGTTCCCGCTGTTGCTGCTGCTGCTGCTGATCCCGCGAATGGTGATGGCTACTGCTCCTGCTGTGACCAGCAGTTCCATTGGTCGGCTGCAGCATGGAGCTCATGGAGCCAGCGCTACAGAGCGCGGAGGAATTGACCTCCTCGCAGGCATAGCTGGCAATGCGATGATCGCTGCGCGAGCGCTCGCGATCGTGGCTGCGATGATGATCTTGGGCAGCAGCTCCTCCTCCTCCGCCATTTCTTTTACTGGGAGCCGCCTGCTGCTGGGATCTGCGATTGCCCAAACGCTTGAGCTCATAGTCTCTGGCATCGGCCACATCGAAGGTGGCTGCCCTCTGCTGGCTTTGCTTGGATGCTGAGGATGCATGCTTGGAGTTAGAGCTTGCTGTAGCAGCTCCTCCTCCAGTGGCACCCACTCCTCCTCCGATTCCACCTGGATAGTACTCATCGTACTGATGCTCCTCGCACAGATTGGCATTGCAAGCGGTTGTGGCCACCTGCTGCTGCTGCTCCCGTTCCCGCTCGCGCTCCCTTTCCCTTTGGCGATGCTTCTTGGGTGGCAGGGGAACGGGCGCCTGGTTCTGCGATTGCGCCTGGTTTTGGCTCTGAGTTTGTGTGGCCGCCGCCGCGTGCAGCGATGTGGATGAAGTGCCTCGGCGCACCACATCCACACCGCCGCCGCAGCAGGCGCACTCCTACAATTCCGTCACCGAATACAGATCGCTATGGTTGCTGGTGGTGGCAGCTGCTGCTCCTCCTCCTCCCCCTCCGCCTCCTCCTCCTCGTTCACCTCGCTTCAAGGATCTATAGAACAGAGCCTGCTGTTGCTGCTGCTGTTGCTCCAGCAATAATTGTTGCTGCTGTTTCGTGGAGAAGTTGTTGTTGTGCTGCCTTTGGTAGAAGGCCAATTGCTGCTGTTGCTGTTGCTGCTGGTGGTAGCTGCTGTCGTAGGAGTGCTGCTTCTTAATGTTGCTGCCGGTTATCAACTGGCTGGGATACTGTTGCTGCTGCTGTTGTTGCTCTATGTAGCTGCGGGCATTGTCCAAAGTTTCCGCCCGTCGGGGACGCTCCCGCTCCCGTTCCCGCTCCCTCTCGCGGTCTCTGTCCCGCTCTTGCTGCTGCTGCTGCTGCTGCCTCAAGCTAGCCGACTTTGGCGGCAATGTCTGCATATGATTGGCATTGCTGCTGTCGCGATTGCTGCCCGTTTTGTGCCTGTTCTTGGGCGGCAGCGTTGGCGGTTGCTGCTGCTGCGGCTGCGGCTGCGTGGCTACGGCCTGCAATTTCTGCGCCTGCGGACGCTGCAACGAGCGGTACTGGCCCAAACTGGCCGCGCACAGCGGCTGAGCGGATATCTTCGATTGTTGCTGTTGCTGATTGGTGGGAATTTCGGGCAGCGGCTGGTTCACAATGGAGGCGGGATTTAGCGAACGCTGCTGCTGTTGCACTCGCGGCGCAGCTGTGGGCAACACCTCGCTGCTCTCGATGCTGTAAACAGCCGAGGGTGGCAGTATATGCGTGGTGGGTGGATGCAGCTCCCTTTGTTGCTGCTGCTGCTGTTGCTGTTGCTGTAGGGCCAGCAATTGCTGTTGCTGCTGCTGCTGCAGGGCCAACAGTTGCTGCTGCTGCTGCTGCTCCTTGGCATACGAGCTGCCCACACCCGTGGTGCCAGGAATTTCCGTAAATGTATTGACTATCTTTGGTTTGGGCGGAGGCGGTGGCGCAGGTTGCGGCGGAGCCGGTGGCACCAATTGCTGCTGTAGTTGCTGCTGCAGTTGATGTTGCTGTTGCAGTTGTTGCTGCAGTTGCTGTTGCTGCTGCTGTTGCTGCAACTGTTGCTGCTGATGCTGCTGTTGCAACTGTTGCTGCTGCTGCAACTGTTGTTGCTGCTGTTGCAACTGCTGCTGCTGTTGTTGCTGTAGCAGGAACTCTTGGGGAATGCAGTCCGGCTGCTGGCAATAATCCTTCGAAACGGTGGCTATTGATGGCGCTTTGGCGCTCCTCAAGTTCGGCGAATGCACAGCGGGGGCAGCGGGCATTGAGGGCGTGGCGTTGACAGCGGACACACCCTTCAGTGAGCCACCGTAGCGACCCACATGCCGCAATGTGGCACACTTGTTGCTCCCAGCAGCGGACATTATGTTTAGGTTGTTGTTCTGACCCCTCACCGCCTTGGGCCCAATGCTTATGTACTTGGGATCGAAGCGATTGAAGCTGTTGTTGGTCACATCGCGCGGATCACGATCATCCACGAACTCCCCATCCAGACCGTTGCCCGTGGAGCGACAAATGCCAGCATTGGAGTTCTGCACCGACAGCACCGATCGAATGGAACTGCCCGTGGAGCGTGGCAATGTGGCCGATGCAAAGATGTTCTTGATCTGGTTCTGATTGATTAGGCTGCTCTGCTGTTGCTGATGTTGCTGCTGCTGGTGTTGCAACTGCAATTGCTGCTGCTGCTGTGCTGTGTTGTTGCTACTGCCTGCATGGGAACTGCAGGCAAGCGAATCTCAGTAGAAGTCGTTCGACTCGAGCGTCTTACACTGCTTGCTGAGCGTCGCATACTTTCCATTGTTGGGTCCCGGCAAATACGATGCCGATTGCTGGTGATGCGACGGCAGGCGTCCCAGAGTGTGGTGGCCTGACCTGAAAACCAAACAGTTTCGATTAGTTGAAATCTCTGTTTTTTAATTAGGTTCAAGGTGATTCAGTTAGGGGATTTAGTTTAGTCTTTCTACCGGATGAACCCTACAAATGGTTAGAAACAATTGGTTAATGAATACCCTATAACCAAAATGAAAATAAGGCATTAAAATAACCTAAATTTTAAAGTTAGAAACTAAAAAGTGTACCCACTTAGGGTAGTTACACTTTTTGGTAGCTATTCCTTAAATGTGTTGTTTTAATACTTTTTAGGTCATTTTGGTTTTTTATTGTTTTCTGAGTGCACTTCAACTAGAGAACTTATGCTCATACTTTAAATACTTGAAAAACGAGAAATTCAATACCCAAACAAGTTTGGTATTTTAGTAGTCTAGTAATTTCAGCAAAATATTGCTACTAAAAAGCATTAAAGCATACCAAATTCCTTTATTTAAGTAATAATTGACTAAAAATGGCATTAGAGGTAAGCCCACCATATATATATGGTGTATATGGTATATATTTAAGAAATAATCGATTTTCCTAAAAATATAAGCTTATTTTTAAAGCCATGTTTAGAACCTTATACCTGTAATTTAAGAATTTTTCTTTAAATTAAGGAATGTCTTTTTCTCAGCGTGCGTCTAAAGTCGATTTATAGTTGCAATTATAAATTTCAGATTACATTTAAAAACATCAGATTACAAAAAAAAAACAGTAAAAGTTAAATTTTAGCGAATCATTTTTGACAATCTCAAAGACAACAACAAAAGCCGAGTTATGCAAAATTTGCAGATATTATAAAAAAGTGTATATATTGTTGTTAATGACACATAAGAAAATAAATTCCCTGCTAGCAAACTGATAAAGTTAAGGTCTTTTTGTGATGATTTCGTTTTACGCTAAACAAGTTGTCTCCATTGTTATTTGCATGGGTTAGTACGGCTCGAGTGGGTCATGGTCTTAGTTTTTCCGTTACAGTGAACCCCCGCTGGGAGGGCTGTATGTGGGTAGGTTCTGTGCCGGTTGTCTTTGTGTTCATTTGTAGTGGGTGATGGATAGTGCTAATGTTCGTTGTCGGTTTTCTCATGCAGGTGCAGCACAACGAAAGGAGCAACGAAACAACCAACTAACTAAAACAAAAGACAAACAATAACAATAACGATAAACAAATAAGTCTAACAAAGCCCCAACTAGAATCGTAATAATATAGTCGATCATTTCGACTATGCGGAACCCGCTACTCAGATAAATATATTTTTATGAGTTGAAATTTATGAGAAGATATTTGACTTGAGAAAAGTTATTGTCTACGACAAGTAATATTGTTTATAATATATTGAACTAACTTAGTATCTTTCTTTTTGGGGAAACAGGCCTTAAATGTATTAACTATACAATTTCGTTTTTTGGGAAAACAAAGAGGGGTATATAAAATTATAGAATTTGTTTACTATTTGAATTATTTTGTCATTTAAAGTTTTTACAAAAGAACTAAACCATAATTTTTGGTTGACAAAGACCAAGTTCTTGATTCAAAACTACTAAATATCTAAATATTTGTTTCGTTTCTTCCTTGTGATGCTGATAATGCCAACAATTACACTGACATATTTTTAGATCTGATTATTAAATACGATAGATAACAGATATAATAGAACAATCTTTCTAATCATGAGCAGCAAGTTCCCAAAAAAAAAGGACAACGCATATGGGATAGGGATTTTGGGGTTTTGGGCGCTTTTTTTTTTCTTGGGGAAGTAAACAAAACAAATCAAATGAAATCAAAGTTCATGCCTTGTGCCATGCACCAAATCGTAGCCGGGCGGCGGCGACGGCGATCGTTGACCACCATTGTGGCTGGCCACGCCCACCGCCGCTGCCACCGCCCCCGCCGCGGAGTTAGTTCTATGCTGTGTATTGTTGCTGTGGTTGTTGTTGTAGTGGTGGTGGTGGTGGTTGCTGTACAGGTGGTTGTTGTGGTGGTGGTGTTGTTGTTGTTGGTGGCTGTTGTTGTTGTAACCGATGGTGCCGTTGTTGTAAGTAGCGTTGTGGGATGAATTGTGGCTTGATTGAGATAAAGGTGATGCCAACCCTTGTCTCAGGCCCGCCGTTCCATTGCGATAGGGTCCCACGCCGTTGTGTCCATTGGCGCCCATGCCACCTCCTCCTCCTGCCCCGCCCCCCGCCGCCTCCGGATCCTGGCAGGGTGCCCGACCCACCGCCGCCACCCACCGACGCCTGCTGGTGGTGCAACAGCGTCCGGTTGATCGTTCCCGTGCTCAGCGGTGCGGTGGGCGAAATGCTGGCACTGGGCGCATTCGAGGCGGGGAACAACGGCGCCGTCTCCGATTTGTCAGCGTCCAGCGTTGGCCTTTAAGTATATAAAAAACAAAAAACCAATTGAGAAAAAGTTATAAAATAATAGAGTAAATGCAAAAACGCCTGGTGTTATAGCGCCCACACTTCAATGAACTTATGTTGTGATTCATTTTCGGTGTTTTCGGAGATTTGAGAGCTCAAAATTCTTAGATTTCGTAAGCCGATCGAGATGGCTTTGGCAAACATTTCGCCCCAGGCTGTGACAATGTGTCAGTCACTAAAAGAGAACAGGAATCACCTGAAAACTCAGAACTTGAAGCAGAAAAAAAAGAAAAAAAAAAACAAACACGATGCATGAATTTTGCGCCGTTTGCCTTGGCAAACTTCGTCGGCAGGTGAACACCCCGTGCAAACATACATTCTGCAAGGACTGTCTCTGTAAGGTCTACGATCGGAGCCCCGCCAAAGCGTGTCCCCTCTGCCGGGCGCCCTTAGAGTACTATATCGTAAGTGCAATCATTTTGGCCCACTAATCGGAATCTGTATAATAAAAGGAGCGCTTTCTCTGGACTACTTCACAGATCCAGAGGAACAACACTATAAAAATTGTTTTTTTTTCATAAAATGTTATTGTACCAACTCTTCTGTTCTGTTGATTGTTCTGTTCTGTTCTGTTTAATTGTTAACAAGTTGTGTTTAAAAACCTGTTAGTTGTTTTGTTTAATTTATGCGTGCACTCTATAAAGTGATTCAAACGATTGTTCAATGAATCCCCGCTCAAGGTAAGTTGAACCATAATCGTAATTCATTTTTAAAAGCAATATTATTTCAGCAGTTGTAAATAACTTAATAAAACGTTAAAATTTGAATTGGTACCTACATTATCGTGGGTTTCACTGCAGCAAGATTTTTAAAGACTTATTTTTAAAATAAATGAAAAGTATGAATTGAACTTATGTGATACATTTTTACATTTTTAAATTTGTCATGCAGCAAATAGATTTTGTAATAACAATTTTGGGCGAATTACTGAACCAAGCTTTTAAAAAGTTTTAATTAGAAAACATATTAAACATCGAAAAACTGAAGGTATAAAAAAAGACAACCACTTTTCAACTATAAAATCTACATGGTAAAAATGTTATGGTATATTAAATAAAAATGTATGTTTTTCCCTAACGTTTGAATCATAGTTTTGAATGCACAGTGTGGGCTATATTCTTATAATGTGCTTTAAGTCTTTTGAAACAAAAAAGGAAGTATTATGTTTTTTTCCTTGTTTTTTAAGATTTAAAAACGTTTTTCCACATATCGTACCGCTTGGTTAGATAAATCCAGGCGTGCGAGTCGGCGTACACCAGGATCGTCAGCAGGAAGGAGGTGAGCAGGCCAGCGACCATCATCAGGCTCAGTCCAAGAAGTCCGCCGCCGCAGAGTCCGCGGAGTGCCTCCTCGTAGTGCTGGTCGATGGCCCGGCGGTCCAGGGTCTCCGATAGAGTGGTTAGGTTGCGCAGCGTATTCTCTAGATCGCTGTCCATGGTGTTCAGTGTGCGTTGGATGTCGATGTGCGGATACGTGTCCTGGCTCATTCTGCGAAGCGAAAGAAGGATATTTTTAACTTTTCAAACCCTAAACACAATTAAAAAATCATCTCAAGGCTAAGAGGGAACTTCTACAAAAATAGTATTAAAATCACAATGTTATAGTCATTGTTATAGTTTTTTTTTCTTTTTTAATTGTCCTTGAAAGTTCCCAAAAGTCGAATTTTTCAGTAATTTTACAACGATTGGTACGTGATGGAAAGTTCTATGTTGTGAATTAGCAATCTACGGGAAAAATCCTTTCAGAACAACTAGCTTTTAGTCCTGGGTTTTTTTTTAGTATTCGACCTGCGTAAAACGATTTTCAGCAATATTATCACAAATAAATCACAACAATTAAAAAAAAGTCCCGTGTAAATAAACAAAGTTTAATGTTCTATACAGAATGCATCTCATTTACCAAATCGAACCGCTATAAAAATAAATTGTTTTGACTTTGCTCCACACGAGTTCGTGTAAACAGAAATAAACTTTAAAAGAAACTATTTGCCAGCTATTTAGCCCATTGATTTCTATTTCCGCCAAAGTATTCCACTGCAATCCATCATACGAATAGATTCATCTACTTACCGCTGCATGTGCTCCACACTTTCCCTGGCCCGATCCACCAGATCCCGGGATTCGTTTAGGCGCAGAATGAACCGATTGCGCGGAGTGCCGCAGTTGAGGAAATCGACATAGGGACTCCGCTGTGGAATGCAAAGTACACTTAGGTTGGTAAACTTTTCAAGAGTACATGGGATATCATCATCTCTAAAGGCAGCACCACTCACCATGCCCACCTGTCGGCACATATAGTCGTGCGGTCGCATACAAAAGTCGCCGGCAGCCACACTGGATGCCAGATAGACAGCGGCCAACAGCCAGCAGATGATGATGCAGAATAGGCCCGAAACGCTGAAGAAGATCAGGGTGCAGCGTGATCGCCGGGCCACGCCAATCACCAGCACGGTGCAGAGCAGTAGGAGGACAGTGAGAAAGGCCAGAGTGGCTGGCCAGCGAATGGATTCGTAGAACTCACCAAGCTGGCGGCAGAATGGTGAAGGATCAGTTAGCTATTGAATGGATATTTTTGCGGCAGGACTGATGTATCAACTCACTTGCAACAGTCCCATTAGCGAGGTATCGTTCTCGCTGCCCTTGGCCTTCATAAAGTAGTGCACCATGCTGTCCAGCGAGGCCACCGCCCGTGAGGTGTTCTCCGTGACCAGACGTGATGTCTCGATGAGCAGCATGACCACCGTCTGGTTGTATTGTGGCTTCACCACCAGCTGCTCCACCTTGTGTCCGGACATCCGCGATGCCAAGTCGTGCTTGATGCTCTCCGTCTGAAAATAAGGCAAAACAAAAACAAAAAAAAACCGTGGTTAGGAACTGAGTTTAACGCATTTTACAATAGCTCCTGCCCAATTAAACATTAGGAAGTAAGTTAAACGCAGGCTTAAATAACTCCTGCAGAAATACAATTACAATTCCGATCTCACTTAACAATATTTATCATTGATAGTTCATGGCAATCTGTAAACTTGATATCTCGTAACTATTTACAATTTATATACAGAGCCAATATATTCGAGAGCTAGAGACATTAATACGTTTTTTCTTAAATGTTACGATTATATTTGATTTGCAAATGCAACTCGAGTTCAACCCCCAAATAGGTTAAATCAGTTCAAAAGTTAATGACCAAATACAGGAGGGGGGATTGGTAGGGGTGAAAGAAAGAGCCCCCTTCTTAACGACGCCCTTTTTCACAGTCGTGTCCTTTGCCCCCCCTCTCAGTCTGGAATAAAGCACACCCAAAGAAAAAGGAAAAATAGTTTCTATCGTAATACTTTTGCTTCCGCACTTGGTTTGGGCTTGGGTCAGGTTTGTGGGTGTCTGGGTGTGTGGGTGTGTACTTTGAGGGGTTGCTCCTCGGGTTAAAGGGATTGCTTCACACACGCACATCGCAAAGGCAGCCCCACCCTGCGAACAACGTCCTTTGTGCCAGGGATAATTAATAGCGTTTTACTCAAGAGTCGAGCAATGCCAGCCATCTGTTTGGCCCTCTTTCTCTGCATCTTCTCTGCTTCGTCGTCGTCGTCGTCGTCGTCTACCTTTGATGCTGCTGGCTGACTCAACTCCCTCAACCGCTAACAGTGTTGGGAAGTGTCTAGATACTTATACCGAGGTACGTACCTAGGTAGCAAAATGTGTTACTTTTTATCTTACCTAGGCATAGACTTTTATTAAATTAAAAAAAAGCTTTTTTATATACCTTTTTCTTTACTTGTACTTCATCTAAGTTCCAAAAAATGATTCATTTTCCAACACTGCCCTATGGCCGCTTTCCATTTCGTCTTCTAACCGCTTGCCTGATAGGCTCATTTGATGTGAATAATGCTTTATGTACCTTTTATCTTACCTATAGCTTGAAAAATTATTTACCTTTATGTAAACTAGTACATTTTCCAACACTGCCTACTAACCTCTTGCCTTATCGGTTCGTTTGCCCCGCCTCTTTCGCTGTCGCTTCCTGTGTCTGTATGTGTGTGTGTATGTGTGTGTGTGTTGACAAAGTTTATGAATAGCAAAAGTCTTGGCCAGGAGGACACACTTCCCCTAGTCCCTATTACAACCTTCTAGCCAACCCAGCCCCATTACACCCTCCCTCCCACGTGGCCACGTAACTGTCAACACAGCAGCCAGCTTTTAGGTTGATTATAATGAACAAGGAGCCAAAGAGGGAGACTATGCTGCGTATGGGATGGGAATATGGCCCGAATGGGAATGGCATAAGTTTATGAAAGCCAAGAATTAGGCAAGGTAGAGGGGCACTGGGTAACTAAGCTCAGTTAAAGATCCCACTTCAGACTTCATTTGCGTACCAAGAGAGACAGAGACAGTGACAGAGATAGAGCGAGAGCGAGAGAGTTTTCGAAGCCCACAAGTTTATAAAGTACGTTTGGTCTTATAAAAACACATATGGTTAGAAACTAATTATCATAAACATATCTATATTTATTTAATTAATTCTCAAGTTAGCTAAACTTGATAATGTAATTATCACATTTCACGTTTGTGAAAATAAATACAAATAACACTAACACAGAACTAAAATGCTTGACCCTATACAATACAAGTTAGTCTCTATGTTTTAAAAAGCTCCAATAATAAGTGTTCTATCTTTTGTGCTTTTCACTTAGGGAACCAAACATACCTGTCGTTTTAAGGTGAGCACCAGATCCTCGACGTTCTTTCCGGATCCAAAGGCCTGCAACAGGCCATTGTGGAAGTCATCGTTTCCGTACAAGCCTGCAAGTGGAGCAAGAAATACAGAAAGAAATCAGACAGAGATTATGGAAAGGTTATGGGATGAGTTATGTGACCGAGATACTGAAGACATGAGGGACATAACCATTAAGAAATCGTGAGCTGGTGTCAGAGATCAGCGAGATATTTAAGATCAGGGCAAGATCATCGCGGGGCAGGTTAGTGATGTAACATTAGCCGCGCCAGCGGCGACACACATTTCGCATTTCTGATTCAATTAAGCGCTCTGTGCGCAGCTCTGCGGCTAATTAAATTATTATTTCATCGTTTGTGTCGCCGCCAAGCCAAGCCATGCCAAGCCAAGCCACTTCCACTGCCGTCGGATGACGCATGGTTGTGGCTCTGGCATCGGCATCGGCTTTGGCTCCACTTCTTTGCCGCGACTTTGCATACGTGACCAGCCACTGTAGCCGTACTCCGCTCCACTGGCGATAAGTCGCGTTCTGGCTAATTGCCAATTGCCCACCGAAAACTGAAAACTGAAAACCGACAGCCGCCAACACGCGATGCAAAGGGATTTACTATATACGTGCTTTGGCAAATGCAACTGGGACTGGGATTGGGACTGCAACTGCTACTGCAGCAGCGGTTCAACGCCCTTCCCCATGGTCATTCGGGGTGCCCAGGACTCCGACACCAACTCCAACTCGAACTCACCTAATCCAATGGCCGCACAGGTCATCAATGTGATGATGACCAGCGAGCAGCTCTGGCAGCGCTGGGCACTTGGCTTCCGCTGACGACGGTCGCAGCAGCGGGTCAGCAGGTAGAGCAGCAAGCCCAACAGCGAGACGATCAGCAGGCCGGCGGGAATGCACGCCAGGATGCCCAGACTCTGTAAAATAATAAGAAAATTATTAGACTTGTATAAAAAAGTGCTCAAAAAAAAGATTTATAATAGGTTCAAGCTGGTGGTAAACGATGCATCAGCAGTCTTTCGGCATTGGTACCTCTACGCACTCTCAATGCCGATCAAGAACAATTTGCTACTTCCGTTTTCAATCTTAATAAGACTTTCATAAAATAGATTTATAATAGGTTAAAGTTGGTGATAAACGATGCATCAGTAGCAAAAAAATCAAATCCCCTCCTTCTATTAACACAGTCCAAAAAATAAGACTTATTATAAGGCAAAGCTGGTGGTAAACGTGTATATGTGAACCCTTTGTTTCCACTTCCCGGAAAAAAAGCTAGTTAGATTTTTGGCAAAGTTAACCAGCCTAACGCAGAATATCAAATCAAAAACCCAACTTTCATTGTTGTTAGCTCAACATCATTCGCTGGCTTAGTCAGACTAGTTTATATTTTATTTTATGTAAAAAACAACAAATCTGTGATATATACTATAGTACCATAAACTTCAACTTTTCCTGATGTAAAATAGCTTAGTTCAGAAAATAATATCACTATTCCTTAAATTGCATATTTGAGCAATCAATTCCAACAGATATGTAAATTCAATTTCGTGTGACAATATTGCAATGGAAATTACCATCGAACCAGAATTGTTTGTTGAAATTTTAATTAAAAATGATTTGATTGATATTGACATTGATTTGTCGATTGCGAGACCATGGTACCGAGCTTAATCAAATTATTTGAGTTGTTAAGCCCATCATAAAAAGTTTAAATCGCGTGGGAATGTATATATATTAAAATACGTAATACACAAGACAAAACTATGCAGTTTTAAAAAATAAATTATATGGTTCCTCCTGGCAATTAAAAGTACCTCGATTGATTAAATTGGAAAATTCCAGACAAACCGATTCTGATCGTTTGTAAATAAAATCATTGGAGGTGAAGAACTGGAAAATTTTATATATTTGATTGAATATTAATCTGTGCCAAATTTAATCACCTTAAGATTGATTCACTCGACATGTTCCTTTAAAATGTTGTTAATTAAAAAATGTATAAGCCAAGTTGGTTGTTAACCAAACATCATCGCCTGTTGACAGACAGTTTTTGTAGCTCTAAATAAAAATCACTTTCTGTGGACTCCACATTCATGGCTCTTTATGCTGGACATTGGAAAAACTTTTAATTGAATAAGTTGCAACTCGATGCCTTTGTTGTTGGCACTGCAATTTGTTGTTAGTTGGCTTCATGGTGGCAGAGTGTCCTCAGTAAAGTTAATTTCTTTTTTTTTTTTTTTTTGGTCCGTCTTCGTGTCCGAAACTAAATTGAATTGGCCAAGAAGAAGAAAAACAGGTGTAAGAAGACACACACACACACACACACACACACACAAGACTTTAGCAACTTTTGCACCGAAAAACGTATTTGCTTGACGGTAATTTCATTGCCTGTCATTAAAAAACACGTTATATACTGTGAGCTTCAAATTACCCAGTGAGGATATTGGATATTCCTGGATATATGGCACGGCGATGGAGATAGAAACCCCGCACTCAACATACTCAAACTCGAATGAATGGCAAATGAGTCAGAGTCAAACCACTTGAGACGTCCATTCCAGTCGAGTTGAGTCGGGTTTCAGTTTCGGGATTTCGGTCTTTATTCAGTGGCTAAATGGGGATACTTCAGGGGGCTCGAGTGGGGCGATAAAAATTAAAGAGCAAGTGCACAAATCCCATTCAAAGACTCCAAGTAGTAGTTTCATTTAAGTGCAAGATTTGAGTATTGCATTCAGTGTGTTTGTTCTCTCCGCGATTCTTCTATTATGTTTTAAAATCTATTTCTACTTAATGAAAACTATTTCAAGTGCTTAACTTAGGAAATCAATTTTTATTTATTTCTATTTAAAATCATAACTCATTTAACAAGCTAATAACTTAATAAAAACTACCTTTATAGCTCTTTACAACTCTTTACAGTCTAATACCCGTATTGCCAATGAAAAAAGAAGAATCAATGTTACCGTCATATATAACACCCATAATTGAACTAGTTTAAGGCAATTTCCAGCAATTCCCAGCTGTCAATCAGCGTTCTATCGGAATCGGAATTGGCATCGACACCGGACGCACCGTTCTATGGTCATGTAGACACGGCACATCCTCGTTGGAAAGTAGTACCCTTTCCCCACTTCACCTCTACTCTCGTAATTCGTAACTCGTATTTATTATTTATTGCACTTGTGCCATGTAAATAATCATTAAAACTAGTTACAGTTGCCGTCGTTGTTGTAGTCTTTGTGCCTCGGCACAATTACGACTCCTCGCAGTTGAATGACACTTGAGAAATGGCATCACCACCACCCCGTTTTGCACCACCTTTCTCTTTCATTACACGCAGAAGAAAAATGTCCAACAATTGCAGGCTAAATGTGGTGGTAAATGTTGCATAAGTCTTGCGGTATGTATAAAAGTGAACAAACAATTACTTAAATACATTGTTTTTCATCGCTAATCCAAATTAAATTTTATTTTTCCTCGACATGCACTTGTGTGCATGTTGATTTTTAATTGTGTTGGTAAATGCACTTGGCTTGCCCTGTTTTATTATTATTATTATTATTTTTAATATTAGCGCTTTTATTTTTTTTTGTGCTGTGCATATAAACTAACAAGCCCCCCTGTAGTTTTTGCCTCTCTTTCCATTTTCCTGCACACCCAATCTGCAAAATGAAGCGAAAATATTCGCTTCTAACAAGCGGAAAACTACCCCAAACCTCCCAGCCCCATTGACCCCACTTTTTTCAACTTCAACCTCCCTTTGGGCACGGAACCCTTTGCAAATGCGGCGCTAAAAATGGCAAAAATTACGCGCTGCCTCCGATGGCGTTCACCAAATTGAATTAAATCAAAGCAAATTGCCAACAACAAATAACCTTGAAGCTCTTCAAGTTCCCCCTTGTAAACCAAACCAACCTTCCTGCACACATCCCCAATTTAATTGAGAATTTTCCCTAGTATTTGTGAATGTGTCTCCATGGGAAGTGTGAAAACTGCCACGAAAGAGGTGGAAAAACGAGGCTGTGACTGGGGGATTTGTGGAGGGCTTATTGCAAAATGTATCACGAAAGATTCTCATAAATAAACATGTATACAAGTGTAGATATAATCGGGATTTAACGCCAGGAAGAGCAAGATTAAGTAAATAGACAAAATACGACAGCGATTAACGATCAAGTAAGAATTAATCATTGGAGACTCTTTGCGCACTTTTAAAAGGTTTTTCAAAGTGAAATAAAATTTTAGAGATGCACTATCAACCGTTCTTGATTCTTGTACGATTTATGACTACAAAATGATCAAATCTATTTAAGGGTTTCAGGAACATTCAAAAGAAAAACCTCAAGTAAACCATGGGGAATTTCAAAAATTAATCATTAAAGAATATGATTCATAAAGTTCGCATAAGTCACCATTTCTTAAATACTTTACTTATGCAGAACATTAAACATTTAAAGTCAAGAAAATACATACATACTTTGAGGGGAGATAAGAAATATTTTTAGGAAACCAATGGTTAAAAAAGCAGAACAATCGTTCCTTTTAGTGCTACAATGGCTATATACAAATGACTCAAACAAATTTTAAATATTTTTAGACATTTCAGAAGTTACGAAATGTAATTAGCATTTAACTCCAAGATTGAGGTAATTTTTTTAAATATTAGAAATTTCGGTTTAAAGAGAGTTAGTTATTTAAACAATTTCAGAAATAAGAAACACACCACCGGATTTTCCCATTAAGTCACTCAGTTTTAAAAAATGTTCAGTTTAAATATTGTTAAAAATGTTAATTATGATAATTATTATATGAAAACGACACTCATAATTAACACTATCTGTATTACCGCAAAAACTTTACAAATTAAAAATATTTTGTTTGCATAGTACACCCACAAAAACTAAAAATCCTGTAAAAAATCAATGAAAATATGTTGTAGTAGTATCACTTTGTGTTTTCCTAGCTGTGATCGAGTTTTGTTTTTTCGTGGGTGGGCGAGTTTTTCGAATCCCCTTCTTCGTAGAATGTTTGTTGGATAAACCAGTTACCCAGCTCAGCTCCACCCAACTTCCTGCCCCCTTCTTGGACCCTCAAGAGGTGGCCCTCAGCGAGAGACAACAGTTATAATAAATACATAAATATGAAGCGAATATATTGTGAGCGCAGCGGGCTATCACCCGTCGTTTCCGCTTTGTCACTTCGTTACGGATCGTTTCTATGTTTATCGCCCTTTTCCAATACCAGATTGTGTAGAACAACATCTAAAGGCGATAGGAAAGGGTCATAGGGGCTCAAAAAACACAGATTGCTGGGGGAGCAGTCAAGGTTAGCCACGTTTTTGAGATAAGAAAAATTCAACCTCTAAACTTTTTAAAGGATTTTTAAAATCTACTTTTTAATGTATAGTTTTTCCCTCAAAAGTCTATATATTGTAATTAATTTATAACTATCTTATTCTAATTCATTTATATTATTAGTCAAATTAGAGCACCCTTTTAACAGAGAACAAATTTTTTTTTGTTACTCAACACTTTTAACACTTCAAATTAATATTTAGTGCCAGCCGTTTTCATGGTTTTTAAGTTCGTTTTTTAATCACTATCCCAGATTTTAGAACATTTTTTTAGGTGCTGCGCAGGAAACGAACCCGACATAAACCAAACATAAACCTAAGAACTAGCAACCAATTGAAGTTTAGCCTTTTGCCTTTCAGTCAGTCCCCCCTAAACAAATAGAAAACCAATTTGAATAGAACCCGAGAAAAATAGAGGAAGAGTTAATGGACGGAGCAGGTGTGTCCGCCGCTGTTAACGTGGCATAATTTCATATGCAAATCTAGCAGCGGTCCGTGATGAATTTTCAATGGGCAGTGGGCATAAATCCAAAATTCCAGTTTGGTATCATTAACTCGGAC